CATTTTTTATTATGATATTTCGGGATTTCGTCTCAGACAAATTATATCGCCGTATTCCAGATTGCAAACATAAACTCTGGACGATACCCAAACATAAAGACTTAAGACCATATACAACAAAAAATAGCCTTTTGAAAAAGCTTATATTATAGCTAATTCTAACCTAAGTATGGTTAGATTAATTTCTGTTGAATTCACGCGCCCGTTTTAGAAATGATAACTCCTTTCTATCCATGGATATCATGCTCAATACGTTATCCATGCTTGTTTTAATTCTGTAAAATTACTATCTATAGCCTCTATTGTTCTTAAATCTAGATATGGACAATAATTGTTGCTGTTCGGGGTCTTGCTAATTTGATTAAAAACAGCCCTTTGTTAGTCGCAAAATGATTGAGGTAGAGTGTTGACGAGATGTTGAACCTCATTCGAAATGAGATAACTTCTCGCGTGTATGGAACCGCGGTTGCTCAGAGAGTAAGGGGCAGGTCCGCTAACCATTAGGTCCCGAGTTCGATCCCGGTTTCCCCTTGTCAGTGATGCAGGATGCATGGTCTGGAAAGGATGGAAGAAATCCGAGCTCCAATGTACACGGTGGCGTACACTAATAGAACCCTTAACAGTTGGAATTAGAAACAAGAATAGCTCACAAGGCACAAGTTACGTATGCCCGTCTTTATTATCTCCAGTTAGTTCAGAATAGTAAGACTATTAAATTTCAGTTCTCACAAACACGCTATAGCAGCATCCTTTTTGACAGTATATAGTGATGTTGAGAATATAAGTACTATAATATGTAACAGTGACTGTTGACTGACAGAACATTATATAACACTGTCACTATGTGAATAAAACTGTGATATAACTATCACCTACACACATCTAATAGATTTACATATCTTTCTTTATTTTACTTTGAACAACCATAATACTGAATAATAAATAAAGAGGAGAATTATGCGATTATGTTTTTGAGTAAAACCATATATTTTAAGGAAGAGAAACCTATTCATTACAAGAAGAATTATCGACAATTATGGCGATCCACTATTGTGAAAATAGGTTTACCTGAAAGTGAATTACAAATATTGGACCATGTAGAAATTTTGATCAAATCGTTCTCTGAAATTGCCTGGTGTTAAGCGGTGATGGTATTATAAACCAGTGCCCTATATTGTGGTTTGACTGTCTACTTTGTTTAGGTCCCGGGACTTTCAAGCGTTGTTTCGCCTTGTCAGTGGTATATGGTGGAGGGTCTGATTAGGATAATGTCTAATGGCATGAACGTAGAATAAATCTTGCCAGTTGGAATTCGAAATAAGAGTAGGCTGTATCGCCGCTGTCCGTTGGAAATTTCCAACATAACACACTGTGTGACTTACGCCCGTCTTCATTAGCACAGTCGGTGAAGAATAGGGGAGACCGCCAAGAAACTCAGATAGAAAGTCCGACAGCAGTCGACTCCGATAGATCACGATTGGGGGGGGGGGGGCATAGAAACACCAACAGTTTCCGACACCCTATCGGACCTAAGGCCAATGGGCGATTTTTCTCTAGGGGACATTCTTCAACATGTGGCGAGTGGGATTGGACGAATTTCGCGGCCGATTGAGAGTGTTTCGGCCTCGAGTGATCCCATTTAATGACTTTACAGATGAACATTTTTTTTTTCATAAATGCAGATTTTCAAAGCGAATATTCGGAGAGTTTTGGGATATTCTCGACCCTGAGCTTGAACGATATACTCACTGCTAATAAAATAATTCATCCCCATTTTTGTTGAGTTGGAAATATGATTTGTTTGAACTGCGGGCTTAAATCTGTGCCTGAATCTGAATATTAAATATACGCCTCAATCAAATAATGTGTGGATCTATAGTCTAACAATATTTTTCTGTTGTTTCAGATTACAGTCACTACATCCATCGCTGTAGCTGTGAGTAGCAGTGCGATACTTTGCTCAAGGCGGATTTTTGAAATTGTAGGAGATGTTCACGGTGTTGGCAAGTCGGTGCATTCACACTTTAGTTACGATGTTAAACAAAGTCTCATTATTAATTTTTTACGGTAACCGCATCCAGCAGAAAACGTATTTGAATCCACTGAATATCGCAGACATCCGATGGCATCGAGATTTGATTATGATCTTGGTAAATTAATTAATGTCTAATCAATAATACAGGCCTAAAGAAAGACCTGCAGTAGGCGGTTGACCCCAACATGATTATAAAAACGACAATATTGAATACAACAACGGATACCAGTTTCGCCGAGATCTTTTGATGGATTGAGGTAAGTAACTGTATATAAATAACTGACCTATTTTTGTTTACAATCAAGAGATCTGTCAATATAAATAGTACGTAATTATCCAGTTTCTATATATTAAGTCTAGTAAGTGTACCTTGAGCATCATTCAACTTTACTAAAACCCAATTTTATATCTAAATCTATTTCAATTTACCGAGTAGGAAATAACAATCTAACCTTCTGTTCTAACCATCAATGGAAATTATTAGGTTAGGTCAATGGTTAGAATTAATTTTCCCGGTTTTGCTTGATGCATATGGCTGCAAAATGAATTGCTGTGTCAAAACGTAGTTTCAAATAACGACATGTAAAACGTAAAATGGTAGAAACCAGCTGACTTTGTTTCCTTCATGATTTAGCATAGACAACAAAGCTTAAATGTTAAATAAAAACAGCGTATACCATTTTGTCGCTCCCGGTGTTGGACCAGAAAGTTCATCGGGATTTTCCGGCGTGGTGTCCCCTTGTCAGTGGAGAAGGACGGGGTGGGGGGGGGGCAAGGGCCATTGTCTAGTCGTTCGGAAGGGACAAAAAACTTAGGTCCTATGTATGCATTGGCGTGTACGTAAAAGATCCCTTGGCAGTTGGAATTCGATAGAAGAGTAAGTCGTTGCCCCTTTGTCCGGGCAAAATTTCCCGTCTTCATTAGCCCAGTGAGAGCAGAACAGAAGGTCATTAAAACTCATTTCATTTATACGATTTTGTTATACTATTTTACTAGAGAATAAACACCCTCATTTAAAGTTAGTTGCTAAAGAGACAATATTACATTCAACTAAAAATAAATGTCTTACAATTTGCACACAATTTAATTTGAACACGGCCATTTGTGCAACATCTATGAGTACCACAAAAGTATTCTACATTAAAGGACCAAAAATCGATAACTTGACACAAATGTTCGCAACGCATGTTATAATGTAATATGAATGTATATAAACTGATTTACATTCAATCGTTTCCCGTTTTTACTCTAATTTCAAATCAGTTATGCTCGGCGAAATACGCCAGAAGTCTCGAGCATCTGGTTATTCTAATCTACATAGTATATCTATTGCGCATACTCTCCAGATATGAACATGCCGTCACCGTTTGACATGACTTGTGTAATAAATCTAGCCTTGTTCTTCGAGTCCCTTGTTAAAAATGGAACTGAAACGCATTATGGTACACGTTTCGTGTACCAATGGTAAAATGTTTATTTTGTCTTAATTATTGGATATCAGAAGCCCATCTTTTCCCGTAAGATCACAACATCAATGTTGATTTAAATTGACAAATAATTCGTGTTTTCCATGTCGAAGACTTTGGATGATATTGAGACTTAGCTACTATATAAATCTGCATAAAGCTGTCAACCCCATGCTTACTTCCTGACAAGAATAGTCTATATCATAGAAACAAATGACGGAATTTGATTAGTGATTGCGGATGTTGTCAACTTGATGACAGTACCAGCCATTAAAATATACCGTATTACTCATCTTTCACATTGAAGAATTTAATTGCTGTAGCTTAAATAAAATGAAACTGTTGTTAAATTATTCACGCAAATCACGATTTGTTGTATTCACCGTGAAAATATTACGGTTCGAAAAAATAAATTAAACCCACTTAATTTTCTTTTTTATAGAGTTGACAAAATTAAACAATAATTGCCATTTTGTTGTATCTTATGTGCCATTAGTATAATCATCAGTTAAGATGATATAGCCGAAACACCTTCTGTTCGTAGTCAGGGTTACATAAATATATATTATTTGTCATGCTTTAATTCTATGTAACCATCCTACACAGCACGAAGGTACACATAACTTGTTTTACCTATTAGCATGTCATATTATATGAAAAATACGTTATACAAGAGCTAAATCTGCCTATTGCAGGTCTTTCTTTAGGTCTGAAATGTTGTATAAACTATAAATAAGACATTAATTAACATTTAAAGATCATAATCAACTCTCGATACCATCTTATGGGTCACATTTTCATTGGATTTGAATCCGGTCTGCTCGTCAACGCCCATTGATAGACAATCGAGACTTTGCTAATTGTCGTGACAGCGGTAACAATGACAATCGAGGCTACAGTGATTTTAAAATAAGGGTTTCTCGGCTTACAGTGAAGCAATTTGACTGAAATTTTCAGCATTTCCCCTTTACATTATCTAGAACCGCCTGCGCTGTATGTAATCTTTCATAATTTATCTCTGGGATAACTCAACTTCACATAGCTAAGCAATTTCTGTGTTAGTTTTCTGTAGCTTCAGATGTTCCCACATGATAACCAACGACGTATACATCGCATCCGTATATAGCTTACATGCAAAACTCTAAAACGGTGGCACCCACTGTTTTCTGCAACTGACTAGCATTTATCGGTGTAGCATCTCCTTAATATGTTTCGTTCTTCAAATAATAAACAAAACCCCACATTTCGTACAAATTAGGAAAATGATTGCGATGTATTTGTACCTTCTCCGTCCTGGCAACGTGACGAATTAAGAGAATGTTCGCGTTATTGTTTCAAATTCTAATATATTCCTTGTGTGGAAGTCATTGAAGGTGGGGTTGGAGTTTTGTTTAATTTTCCAGATCAAAACAACCATGAATACAAAACAAAATCGATTATAATTTATTAACTTAAACAATCAACTTGTAAATTTAAATATAAAAATAATGGATGTAATTTATTAATATAATATATACAATAATTTATTGTGCAGTATACAATAGAAACTGTCAGATTATTCGAGACGGGTAATTAATAGAATGATTGGAAGACCTGCCACCATAATGTTCTTTAAAACATTTAAAGTTGAATAAATAAGACCACAAATAATAAAACAATCTTTAAAAATAAAATATCACAGAAATAATGAGTTATATCCAAATTGGTTGTTCAGAAACACAAGTGTAGTGTGGACCAGGAACCAAGCATGACGTCATGTTGGAGACAAGAGTAACGTATAGTCGTTCGGATGGGACGAAAATCAAAGGTCCCGTCTATATATTAGTGTGCACGTAAAAGAGCCTTGACAGTTGGAATTTGATATAAGACGAGTGTAGTGTGGACCAGGAACCAAGCATGGCGTCATTTTGGAGACAAAGGTAACGTAAGGTCCCGTCTATACATTAGTGTGCACGTAAAAGAGCCGTGGCAGTTGGAATTCGATAGAAGAGTAGACCGTAGTGCCGCTGTCGGGCAAAATTCTCCTTTCAGCACACCGTATGGCGTATGCCCGCCTTCACTAGCCCAGTAGAAGCAGAACAGTGGGACGTTAAACTCCATTTCATTTCATTAAATTTCATGACGTCATCGCCGTCATCTTAGAATTGTGAAATATCAAAAATCGAAGTCCGTCAATCGATACTTTTTTCGTCGGTTCACCCCTTATTAAGAAGAAGGGGGAGAATAACGACAACGACACGATGAGTAGCGGTTGGAGATCAGTTACTGGTAAAAAAAAAACAAAAAAGAAACAACAAAATAAACAAAAAAAACCCCAAACATCAGCAATTGGACATTTCATATTGACGATAGCTCACATTCAAAATTGAACGCGTGGACATTTTAAATTAAACAATCAATCGTACCACATAAATATTATATGATTCTTAAATCGTACTGCGGTAGCCTATGGCGTACATCGGGCCAAGTTTGTTGTGGGACTTACCGGGCAATTACAAAAGCATGGTGTATGCGGACCCTTATGAATAGAATATTATGAAAGACAGGACAACTACCCCCAAATATAATAACATAATAAAAACATATCAAGTCGAAAAAAGAAATTCTCATTTAGCACGATTTCGGTGAAGAAGTCAGGCAACAAACGACTCCCGGATATACCCGAGTAATAGGAATCCTTTAAACATGGGCGTTAGTATATACATGGAGTCAGCATAAATGACATGTATATCATAACTGTCAACGTGATTGTATAGTTTTATCATCATGTTCTTTTTTTAATAAAAATTATGACATCACAGTTAACGACAGACTAATAACTCAAATTTGATCTGCGGGCGAACAAATCGCGCCTAGAAAATCTTATAACAGTTAATAAACAAATTAATAAGTAAATGAATTGTTAAAAAATTAATTAATTTTAGCTAATATAATATGTTAAATAATTAGTATTCTAATCCCAAATGTGACAAGTATCAGGGTCACTTGAGTAACGTCGGGTTTATTTTGTGTTGGATTTTACCCTCTTTTAAAGACCCCTTACGTACAAGTTATTGATTGAAAGAAAAGACATATCATTCGTTACTCTCTCTCTGTCTGTTTCTGTCTCTGTCTCTCTCTCATAATACTTTATAACTTTGACTCAAAATTTATATATAAAGTTAATAAAACATTCTTCTCTCAGGTAAACGTATATAGAGATATAACTAAACAGGGGCACCGTACTCTCAGCCAAGAAGACCAATGCTTACACCAGAAATGTTTTGGTTTAGACTTGGTTCGTTGGACCCGAATCCTGATTGAACAAAACAAACACAAGTCAGAACACCGACGATTTTACCCATACTTGCCAGAGAGAATGCCTAACCGATAATACAAAAACGACCAGAAGAATACATCTAAATACAAAATGGTGTGTTGGGTCGCTCAAGAAACATCGAACTTGCTTCTTTATAATGATAGTTTTAATGATACACACGCCAGTTATTCATTAAAACAAGACGTCATAATCCATGATTCTAACGAAATAAATTTTGTTCTCTATAACAACCTAGGCATACCAGTTAGTCATAATCACATTCTGGAATATCATCAAAATCTGTAGCAAAAACACTCTCTCGTCGAGATCGTCTGGCGTTAAATCGAGATATTTGGGGATTCTGTTGATATCTGCGTTGAAAATCATTTTTGTTACTGAAACCGGAAGTGTTTCCATAACCGTTTGGCTGATAATAGTCTTGCTGTCGATAATTCTGACTTGTTGTTTGTTTATATAAATCACGAACTGCCATTGTTTTGGTATCCCGACGAGTTTGCGCTACCCATGAATTAAGACGAGTTTGTGGCAGCTCTCCTGCAGTAATAGCAATGATACTCTTCCGTCTATTGTGTTCTCTTTGTACAATTTTCTCAAACTTGCTTCTTGGATCATGCCCCTCTTCCTCCTCTTCGTCAGACTCAATGATACATTCGCCTAGATCTTTTGGACCGCTATATTCACTAGATCCATCCGGATATATAATATCTTTTTGTCCCGTTTGCATTTCCGCAATCTCTTTTAACGCCATTGCTGTACTGTCCAGACCTTCATTAGTACAGTACGTTATATCCGTACTAGAAATCAACAAAAGGAATGTTCCCCATCGATGTACTAACATAGAGAAGAACTGTGTTAGAATCAAAACAGAAAACACACCTAGGAATATTACAGATACTGGCTCGTATTTACCGGCTATGAAGAACTTTTCCTCGAGAATATCCTGTTTAAGTTCAAGCTGAAGAATTACCAAGGTAAACATTACATTCAGCAACATATACGCAAAAACAACATTATTTCTGATGGATATCAAATCCGCGGCAATCTGTTCTTGTTTTTCCTTGTTCTCCTTCAAGGGTAGAAGGAATTTGGTTATAAGTTTTTGCCAAAATAACCGTTCTTTCTCTTCAAGTTCTCCATCGGTCCCGTCTTCCAAAGATGTTACTCCTTTCCAGAAGTCTGGATCAATAACCACAACTTTCTCCTTCGGCTTTCTTGGCGCTGTCTTGGGTTTTGGTTTGGAAAGAGGCAACCCTCCAGCTGGTGTTGACATCCCTGATTCCAAGTCACGTGATAAAGGTGTCGATGGAGAAGGTTTCTCGTTCTCCCGACCCAGTGTCTGTTTGATGAAGCTGCGAAGATCTTCAAGAACAGATGATATTCCCAGGGACTCGATGAACTTTCGGATTTTACCCTTTTTGGCCGTCGCCTGTTGTGCAACTGCTTCTTCGTCTGGGTCAACCTTTTTAGGTGCCTCTCTTGTACCCCACGACACGATGTTCAAATTACACAAAAAGAAAACAGTTAAGAAAACAAATGTTGACGGAACTGTTAAATAATACAAGATACCGTGAATAAGACACATAAGTTCATTGGGATGAGCAAGAGCCGTTATCACGAATATGGTTGATAAACCGATCAGAAAAAGCACATTTGGTGTTAGGAAATCTTCTTCAACAATGTTTATCACAGTTCCTATGGAAACTATCACCATGACGATTGCATAAACAGCCGACATTACAGCAGCTACTGCCACTTGAGTCTCAGTCTTGGCTTTCAGACATAGTAAAACGTACGCCAACACGGGGAGTGTGGACAATAAGTATGACTGCCACGGGTTTAAGCCTAATACCGCTGTGTAGGATCCACTGATCATGAAGGTGACAGTACCGGGAGCTAATATACTGGAGGCCATTAAAACAAATTGGTAAAGCATGAATAATGTACTGATGTTGTTATTCATCTTAACTGTCGTTTTCCACGATGTTAGCAGATCCATAACATTAGCCATAGTCGAAGGGGACCATCGCCGTCGCTGGATGTAGAAATCATGGAAAGTTTCCGGGGCATAGGTGAAAGCATCCGAACCAGCACAGTAGTCTATTTTATATCCTTGTTGTAGTAATAATGTACACAACCATCTATCCTCCCCTGTAATACATGATATTCTAATTATTAATGTACCAGAGACATGTTTCACAAAGCACAAGTAAGACTTAAGGACTCATACAACATATTACAACTCGATTAAACGTGTCTTTGGTCAGCATCAGTTCCAGTTAGCTTTTCAATAAATTTGTTTATTTCATTTTTTTTTATGGTTTGAAAGAGGGTTGGGTGGGGGTGGGGTGTATTTGATTTCTATACGAATACAAACCTAATGTCCAAAACCCCAAAATGAACAAAAGCCTATAAATAACTATAACCCTATTGTTTAATCATCATATATGGCTCTTATTGTTTTATGTATTTGTTAGATGTTCTGACATTTTGTGTATTGAACACGAAAAGGTACTACTGTTAAAAAAAATAGGGACATTTTCCTACACAGATATTACATGGATTTGATTTTCTTTTATCACACAACCAGTTAAATTATTTCTGTTTTGTCCTGTGTACCTGACGCTCCTAACAAGAATATAAACCCAAATATACCCTGTAATGAGTATTTTTTTTATTATTTTTAAAAGAATATAGTATTTACCTTGTTCGTATTGAATATAATGTTTGGCTTCTGTTGGTTCAATAGCATACAGTCGCATTACATTATCGTCCATTAACGACAACCCTCGAAATAAACTAAAACATCCCGGGCAACACAATACACAGCCTAGTACATTTTCTGTTGCCTTCTGTAACCAATGGCCAACAGAATATTCAAACTGTTGGTACCACACCATAGGACCTGGGATGTAATAATAGAAGGGTTACTATACGTTCATGTAGCTATCTTTGCAGGGATTTCGATAATTAAGTGTGCGGGGGGGGGGGGAGATGGCCACCGAATAGTTAGCACGAGCGCGCTGTATCATAAGGTCTATCATTTAGTCAACTGGTGGGGTTTCGATCCCCCGGTTGTACGTGACAAGGAGTAGGGTCGCCTGTCCAACCTCGTGGGTTTTCTCCGGGTCCCCCGGTTTCCTCCCACTGCTATAGACCCGTACGTGCAAACGAATTATTGAATTAAAATTGAACCATGTATAAGTCCCGAAATGACCTAGTTTGTATCGAGTGGACGGTAAATCCCATTGCTCTCTCTCTCTTTCTCTCTTTCTCTCTCTCTCTCTCTTTAAGCAATATTTGTAAAAGTTAAAGAAGCAATTTACCAATGTACTACGCTATAAGCGTACAATGTGCGGAATTTTATCAGTGCATGGCATTGTCAATCAGTAAATACCAATCCGAATATACGTTGTCTACCCAGTACCTACCTTGTCCAATCGGATGAATTCTACCACAAACTGCAGCCACGTCACGATTTTTCTTCATTCGATCTATCAACAGACGAACAGATTCTGGGCCAAAATCTACATCACCATCTAATGCCATAACGAAAGTGTTTGCGGCCTTAAAATAAAACAAACCAAATTCGTCAATTTTGATTTCCCTTAATTGGTTTCAGTTAAATAAATGTAAATGTATGTTGCTCTGATAACATGATTATCTAAAATATCACCAGTGTGGCTAATGTTGATGCCAGAAATTAGTATCCTGGTTGTAACATTGTTGAAGGTCCAAACACCTGATGTCGCACAGGCAGGAACTTTTACACTTAAAACAAGACTTACAGTGACACTTCCGAACAAAGAAAATAAATAACTATATATGTGAACTTTCCTGACAAATAACAAGCGGCATTAGATATTCTAGGAGAAAAAAGAACACTATGTCTCGAACAGTGGCGAACGTTCACAGCCTAGCTCGCCAACAGGTTGGACTACAGACATCAGAAGCAGAAGCTATTTGGTTGAAGGCTTAACCCTCAGAGTCATCATGCAAAGCTGTTTAGACAACAACAACAACAACAACAACAGCAACAACAACAATCCATAGTCATTATCACAATCCTCAGTATGTGAACATCCTAAAACAGAAGTGATATGAGGTGTTCTACAACAACCTGGTTCATGTATGGTATCAATAATATGAATGTTGATACTGACCTCCTCTACAACAGAATGTGGTAGTCTGTTTAGTAAAGATGAATGTGGACGGACAGGTGCCGTTATGTTAACTTTCTGTTTATCTTCTCGTAACAATTCATCCGCTGACGAGTAGCCTTTTAATAGCTTATGTCCCAATAAATAATACATATACATAATCTGAAAGAAAGGTGATCAACTCTGATTTACTATACGCTATTGTTTACCATGTTGAATCTTGACCACAATTCCATGAATACGAGTGGGGTTGCTTGGGAGAAAGATCTGTCGTGTTCGCTGTCGGTTTTGATTGTACGTGACAAGGAGTAGGATTAACTGTCTTACCTCTGGGTCCTCCGGTTCCACGACCGACTGCTAAAGACACATACGCGCAAGTGAATCATTGAAATAAAGGTTACCCCCCCCCCCTCTCTCCCTCTCTCTCTCGGAATACGACTTTCGGAGAAAACAGGTATATCATGTGTTTATTCCAGATAACGGACTAACTAGCGAGTGAGCTGTAGAGTAAATCATAATCAGAAATTACATTGTCTTACAAACATTTGCTAAATGACATTTAAAAATATACCTGTGACCATCTTTTCTTGTGACGTATTTTATTTTTGTCTTTGAGATGGACTTCCATCTTAGTACCACCAGGCATTATCCATTCCAATCGTCCTCCATACGGTGTTGTTATCTTCTTTACTGGATCTAAGGTAACGCTTCCTTTTGAAACGGAACTAAGTTGAAACACAACAATGAATGAATGAGTGGGAAACAAAGAACTAATTATTTGCCAATTTACACAATTTATTTTTGGGTTGGTATTTAGAGAGGTGACGCAAGTACCCTTAAGCAAAGTGCCCTTAAGAAAATTTACTGCAAATCTGGTTGCCTCTCGCAGTAGTATTAATAGAGTTATTTCCCTTCAAAAAGAAACACACTAGGGGGATGCTCGAATTGACAGAATTGCAATCGAGTGACGTGGAATTCAGTCCTGTCACAGTTTTGTCAGTCCCGACGACGGAGGTGGTGTGAGTAGAATTGTGATGTAATTAAACAGGTTTCGGCTGCATGGTTGGATGAGACATTTATATATCCAGTCGACGCATGCGTTGTAGCCCGAAGTACCCATTTTCACTCGATTGTCGCTATTTTGGGGATTGAAAGAATTCAATTCCGGAACGTTCAATCGAGTACGCCCTAGCATTCAAAACTAAATAGCCAACGTTTCTGCGCATTCAAGACTAACACTCGGGGGGGGGGGTACTCAATTGAACGTTCCAGAATTAAATTCTCTCAATTCCTAAAATAGTGTCAATCGAGTGAAAAGCTGCATAAAAAATATCTCAACCAATCATGGCAGCTGAAACATATTTGTATTTTAAAATACGTCACGATTCTACACACACCACCTCAGCTATCGGGACTGGAAGAACTGTAACAGGACTGAATTCCGTATCACTTGATTGCAATTCTGTCAATTCGAGACGTTCTGGACTGACAATCGAGTACCCCCTAGGTGAGACTTTTGACAAGGCAGTTACTGAACATTGAACAGCGGTAATGCAGCTAGAAAAATCCCAATGGTTATTTTGACAGACATTCAAAGCCGACTGAACACATTTAGCGGAGGCGGGGGTTGTGGAGGGGGGTGGGGTGGCTGGAGAAAACACAGTTTAATACTTACGAGCAAGCTTGAGGCATAATTTCTATTAGTTGTTCAACATAGGAGTTAACTACCCTTTGTTTTGTCTTTTCGTCGGTTTGAAAGGCATCATCAAATATTATGTGAACTGAAACAATCATTAAATCGTGTTGGCAGAATTTCTTATTTGGCAGAATGAGAGAGTCGGCTAAATATCACCACATGGTTCCATTTGTCAACCTCATGTTGTTAAGCTAAGCGTAAACTTTGTCCTATTTGAAGGTCAACAAACTTAACCGAAATAATGCTCTTTTTTTGGAAAGGGGGTATTAATATGTATATATAAATTCCAAACATAACGCTAACGCTACAATATACGTCCACATTCCAATTCTGCTTTGATTGACAAGGTACTTTGTCAAGAAGGCTAGGCTTTTGGTTTGTTTAGCGTTGAGGGTCGTGCATCAACATCAATAGTTCCTGTCCTTAGAGTATAACTTATTAATAATCACCAACAGCATATTGGATTCAAATCCAATGGAAATCTGACACATAAGATGACATAGCGAGTTGATTAGGATCATTTCATGTTAATAAATGACTAATTAATAGTTCACATAATATTTTAGACACAAAGAAAGACCTGCGTAAACAACACCCACCCCAGTCAGTGAAAAATGCATTGCGCGGACGTTCGTGAAAGCATTTGCGAATAACGTGTAGTATTTAGCTAAAAAAAAACCAACAGATTTTAAAACCAGGCGTATTGAACAGTAGAGAATTAGATTTATTTATATCAATATACGTATAGGCTTTACGGGTCTAAATATTGAGAGCATGTGCAACGATAGTCTTCTTACGCCACGGTCTAACCGATCCGGATGACGATAGATATATCACGCACGCCTGTCTGTCTGAATCTCACTCCCAGTCCTTTAAAAGATTGACAGTAGTGAAAGATTTGAAAATAAAGTACTTGGGACACATCGATTCTTACCTCAGATGATCTGCCGAAAAGTGCAAACTGCGAATGATGTACAATAAGGAAAGTGTCATTTGATGACTGAGATTCCTTGGTTTCACGCACGTTTTGTATTCCGCTTAAAATTAGAAGTATCGGGTACCGGACGTTTCGCCGAAACGAAATGAATAGACTTAACCTTGCCAAAGTCATGAAAAAATAGTTGGAGTCTACACATGTCAAATGCATTTGCATTTCTCAAAATACTGTAAACTGTGGTAATTTGATCTAGTCTAAACTTTTCAATTTCTACTGTCCGTTGGGGTTTGCTATTTTTATTATTAATCAATTATTAATAATAAATTTGGGACTAAATTTTAATGACGAATGACACCCAAACAAATAACCGGTATAAATGCTTGTAACACTTTTATTAATTTTCTCTGGTTACAAAGCGTTCTGAAACGTCAACAAATAACCGGCATAAATGCTTCTAACACTTATTAATTTTCTCTGGTTACAAAGCGTTCTGAAAAATAAGTTTAACAAAGGCTATCAGAAAACACTCACAAAAACCCGAATTTTACATGGGAGACAACTCTTTAAAGCATATCACGCCGAATTTTACATGGGAGACAACTCTTTAAAGCATATCACGCCAGTTTGACATTGTTAGACGGAGTTATCTCCTCCGAACCAAGTGAAACCGAAGTCTGAAATTAAATCCCAATCTGACAAAAGTACTTAATATTCTTAAAAGACAAATTATTAATAATAAATTTGGTACTAAATTATAATAACGAATGACACCCAAACATAAGACTTTTTAAAAATGTACATCCTGAAAACGCACATGTACTTGCAGTTACATGAATTTATAATTTATTTAGTGTGAGAGAGAGAGAGAGAGAGAGAGAGACATTGTCATTGCAGTACCAAAAGGTCTTTAGCAGTGGGAGGAAAGGGGGAGAAAACGGTGGTTTGAAACGTCAACAAATAACCGGTATAAATACTTCTAACACTTACAAAGCGTTCTGAAAAATAAGTTGAACAAAGGCTCTCAGAAACCACTCACAAAAACCCGAATGTTACATGGGTGACAACTATTTAAAGCATATCACGTCAGTTTGACATTGTTAAATGGAGTTTGACATTGTTAAATGGAGTTATCTCCCCAAAATCGGGCATGCACCCAAAAGAAAAGGGACCAACCTCAGGGTATAAGGAATATGTATTTTAAGTTTCAAGATGATCGATTTAGAATTGTGGCCTGTAGGCGACACACAAAAAGAAAATTGGCATGGCTCTGCCCCTGGGGGTTGGGCATGTAGGGCCTACTCCAAATGATAAGGATGTTCCAAATGATAGGAATGTTCCTTAGGGTACAAAGAATAAGTATATAAAGTGTGGCTCTGCCCCTGGGGGTTGGGCATGTACCCCAAACGATAGGGATGTTCCTTAGGGTACAAAGAATGTGTATGCAAGATTATAAGTTAAGAAATGTGGCCTGTAGACGACAAACAAACAAATACTAGAAATGGGCGTGGCTCTGCCCCTGGGGGTCGGGCATGCACCAAAAACAATAGGGATCTTCCTTGAGGTATAAGGAATAAGTATACCAAGTTTGAAGAAAATCCAGTAAGAATTGCGCCCTGTAGGCGACACAAAGACACACGAAAAGAAAATGGGAAATGGGCGTGGCTCTGCCCCTGGGGGTTGGGCATGTACCCCAAACGATAGGGATGTTCCTTAGGGTACAAAGAATGTGTATGCAAGATTATAAGTTAAGAAATGTGGCCTGTAGACGACAAACAAACAAATACTAGAAATGGGCGTGGCTCTGCCCCTGGGGGTCGGGCATGCACCAAAAACAATAGGGATCTTCCTTGGGGTATAAGGAATAAGTATACCAAGTTTGAAGAAAATCCAGTAAGAATTGCGCCCTGTAGGCGACACAAAGACACACGAAAAGAAAATGGGCGTGGCTCTGCCCCTGGGGGTTGGGCATGCACCCCAAACGATAGGGATGTTCCTTAGGGTACAAAGAATGTGTATGCAAAGTTTCAAGATTATTAGTTAAGAAATGTGGCCTGTAGACGACAAACAAACAAATACTAGAAATGGGCGTGGCTCTGCCCCGGGGGGTCGGGCATGCACCAAAAACAATAGGGATCTTCCTTGGGGTATAAGGAATAAGTATACCAAGTTTGAAGAAAATCCATGAAGAATTGCGCCCTGTAGGCGAACCACAGACACACACACACACACACACACACACACACACACACATACATACATACACACACACACACACACAGACAGGGGCGACGGCATAATACGTTCACATTATGAATGTGGACGTATAAAAATGTGGGAGGGGAAGGGGGTGTCAGCAGATCCCGAAAGATTATAAAGATGTCGACGGTCTAGCGGTCTTCATTTGATATGATTTTGCACCACTATTTTTTTGTAATCAATATGTAATCAATTTTGCTGTCTAAAGAAGGTCATATTCCCTGAATAAACAATATTTATTATATTTAGTCATATAATGTAATTTATATCTAGGAAGTACGGTTCCTATATAAAATTACAAACTTACCTTCGGCGCTGTATAGATCATCAATATGGGCTCCAAAATTTTTATTTGCTAAATATCTTTGACATATGTCGAAATCTAGTCTGAAATGAAATAAACCCTGGATTATCAGATTTATTAAATTAATGATGTTAAAGGAGAATATTGGTGTCAGCCATTATCATATATGTGATAGAACTGGTTAAACACGTTCCAAATAAAACACACAGATCATTGCTACGATAGATGCGTTTTAAAGATTTGAGGAAATGGAAGTGTTGAGTGAAAACAGATACACGGGCGAATTTCTGCTCACTAATAATTTCTTCGAAGACCAAAAGTTCTTATGTGAGGCTATGGGGGGATATCTGATAATTCCAAAAAGTAATCGAATGCCACTAGATAAGGAAATACGAGAAAAAGAAAAATAGTCCCTACGTTCCCATGTTTTTATTGATTCTATACTTAATAAAAAACATGGTAATGCACGGATGATTTCAATGAAGACAGGCATACATGAGCTAATGAAGACAGGTACGGTACACAGCCATGCAACGTGTGTGCTATAAGTGACATTTTGCCCAGACAGGGCAGCTATAGTTGTATTTGACTGAATATTATAAATATACACTATGATTATTAATTTTGATTGATTCTTGTAACAAAAGAATCTTCCAACGGACAAGCAGATTTTGGGACCAAGAATTGGAGATCTTTTAGTTATTCTTCTATTTGGGGCAATGCTCTTCGAAAAAAGCCTAAGGTTTCGCCACTCCAAGCACAATCGACACGAAAGTTTCCATGCCTGCTCCTTGACTAATTATGCCACAACTGACACATGATGGCGATGGCGTCCATGTAATATATATTAAGAGTTCGTACCTGAACAGAGATTTACATAGTTGTATCATTTCTTGTCTTATCTCGTGCCACATCGTAGCGCATATATAAACCATGGGATTCTTCATTTCTTTAATTTTCTTTTTATACTCTTCTTTTTCAGCTAAATCTTGACGCCGCTTAAGGGCGAGGCTGACATCAGAGTATACTGGATCGGAATGGCCGAATGAAAATAGCCTGAAACGTGTGGAAATGTGTTAGAATTAGCACCTCATATGTTACATTGTATTCACTTGATCATTCCTACTAAAATATATAATTGTAATTTGTATCTGGAAATCAACCACGGAGTTTAAAGTAGCTAAGTCCGTAACTCAATATCATCCAAAATCTTCGACATTGAAAACACGAATTCTTTGCAATTTAAATCAGCATTGGTGTTGTGATCTTACCTGGAAAAGGTGGGCTTCTGATATCCAATATTTAAGACAAAATAAACATTTTACCATTGGTACACGAATCTTGTACCATAATGCGTTTCAGTGCCAATTGTAACAAGGTGCTCAAAGAATGAGGCTAGACATATTCCACAAGTCATGTCAAACGGTGATATGTTCTTATTTGGAGAGCATGCGCAATAAATAATATCGGTGTTGACTGGAATAACCAGAAGCTAGAAACTGACTTGCGGTTGAGACTTTTGACGTATTTCGCCGAACATAACTGATGACAATTCACAGTAAAACGGACGCGTTTGAATGTAAAGCAGTTTATATACATTCATATTACATTATTATATGTGTTGCGACCCATTTGTGCCAATTTCTAGGTCCAAAATATTAGCGATTTAGCTCCTTTAGATATAACAAGAATGCACAAATATGACACAATTATCTCACATAGGAAAGAGTATTGTTTTACGTCTCGTCAACACAATAGGCTACGTCGGCTGTCCCGAAAGCGCTAATTGCTTAGGCAAGATCATAGCATTGATAACAACGCTAGTCAGACTGCGCAAGCTCGCACCTTATTTTTAGTACCCAGATCAACTTCTTTTGATGATTATTTACCTTGGACGCTACCCTGCAAACAGTATATATTGTGTTTTTTATTTAGGAAACGAGATCGAACAGGCCTTCTAATCAATCTCACGTCTGCATCCCAAGCTGGGCTAAGCCTATTATGTGACTTATCTGGCAAGTTTCTCAGGGAACACTTGTCTGCGATAACACCCAAGGTGAAAGCTGATGTAAACACTACGAAAGAACGAGCGGTATTTCCGCACACTCTTCATCAAACGACTACTTAACATATTAGTGGCAAAATATTAGGGGATGGCGGAGGGGGCAATCGTTGGTGTATCACATGGAAGCATAGTAATTTGATTTGACTTACCTTTCTATTTTAGCCATTCTCTCCAGCTTCGGGTACCATATATGCCGAGTTACGAACACATAAGATAAATACACTGCTATGCATAATCCGAGAGTTATCCACCCCTCGCGGTCACTAGGGGGCGTCATTCTTTGACACATATCTAAATTTTGAATCCAAACAAATCCATTATTGACACCAATGGGCCTACACAAAGACGCCAAAACAGTAGTGACGATTGGCACAAGAAGAATTGGTAACGCAAATCCGAAACGCTGCATATGTAATCTACACGTTAGTCCCGAACAATAGGCACACAGATACGTAGATACCATCTGTATGTACATTAATCCAAAAGTACTAAAATGTCTAATAATTTTGTCTTTATCAAAGAACATTTCTGTAAACGATTTCCAATAAAATAGAAAAGATTCTTCGATCTTTGATTCTAGAAGAAAGTGACACAACGCGCCACATATTGCAATCTGAATAGGTGCTGAATAAATGTAACTAGACATTCGAACACGGCGAAGATTTTTTCGAACAGCACTGATGTCAACATTACAAAAAGGAAGTTTTCCAAATGCATAATTTTCCCACCACCCAATGCTCACAAGAAAGCAAGCTAAAACAATCACACTGCCCACTTTTAGTTTAGAAAAATCTCCCGTAGTTGGCAGTTTAGAGAAGTTTCCAGCGGTGAGCAACACAATCGGCGATCCAACTTGCACCATAAAGGCTAATACTGATGCCATTAATGTAACCCAAAATCTTGGTTTATTAATCTCTGGACCAGAAATGTTAAGTTCTTTTCTGGGTCTACTAGTAAATTCCTTGATGATATTAAATAATGTCGGTATTTGACACACGGAAAGTCCACAAAGAGTTATTTCCAGAGGTGACGAATAAGGCATTATTATAATTACAAAAGCACATTTACCACCAGTTTGAAACACGTCCACTGTTGTTAACTAGAAAGATGGAAAGATGGAGTTAAAATTTAATTTTAATTCGCGAAGCACGAAACAAACTATGCTGTAATTGTGTAAAGGAAAGACCATCACCTATGAGAAGACAGATCTCTTCAAGAGAGTTTACTTTATCTCACGTATGAACCGTCACAAAAATATAAAAGGTGGATACATTTTCAGGTGTAAATTACTAGAACTTAAAGATTAACTTCACCCGGGTTGTTATTATTACAATAATCCCATACCGGGTAGATTAAAGAGTCCTTACATTAATATCTATATGTTTTTAAAATTATACAAAGGGGATTATTCCGTAAAACGTATAGCCAGATCTCTTACATAATTCCTTCAGATTACATTGAGAAAGTGTAATAAGCTACAGAACTGTGCATTATATTGTGATTTTATCCTACAAAATACTGATATGTTGTTAGGCGTATCTGAATGTATACTAGTACATGTTTCATTACTTACCAGTACGATGGCTTTTTTAGACGGATACTGCGTGTTGGAAAAAAGAGCTTTGAACAAACAAGAGAACCATTTTAATACCATTGGCATGGCAAGACACCATATAAGTTTTAGAAACATTATATTGCGATCTTCACCGGTCTAGAAAAAATAAAAGATAAACAATGATTACTTGTAGCTTTATTGGTAACCATATTGTTTTGACAGAAAGAATAGAGACAGGTACTAGCCAGCGACATACGTATAATGATATCAAGACTATCACTGCTTCTTCCAAATTCCCCTCTCCAAACCAGTACCACCCCACCCGTATCACCAATTTCATTAAAATACAGATTTATATTACGTTTCGCTTTTTTATACTTTCGATGGCCTCCACTACATTAAGATCTGACCGGTTATAGTGGTAGGTCGCATTAGGGGTCATGCATTTGATTAACCAATCAGCGTTGATGTTTCAAGTGGATATTTGGAAATACAACTTATGCTTTGTCTTCGCTGCGAATGTCTACCCCAGGGTTCTGTGCACCGCACACCGAGAATTCGCAACAACAGACCGTTTCATTCACATCAACCAGAACGCGGGTTATATAACAACTTTTCCAGATCCTAGTATCGTGAAGGCAGGTAATAAGAAATCTTGGACTATAAAAGAAAACGAAATGAAATGTGATCTGAATATTAATCAGATTGCCCGTACCGTCTACTATGATGTTATGCTTTAAAGATATGAAGAACCCTGGGGAAGAATGATCTAAGTCACCTTTCCAACGATCCCCAGTTAATGGCACCATCTGGTAGCAAATTGTATAAGCTTTCTGTTGAACAATCAATTTCAGGTAAAAACGATCTGAGTCACATCGATCCAAGGCCCTTCTGAAATGCCCCCCCCCCCCGCCGGACAAATACAAGTCCATCGTATTTATTTGACCTTAATTTAGCTGAAAAGTGGAAGTCAGTTGTTGTACTTGTAATTATGATTCGTATTAAATATCATTTTAAAGTTGTAATTAAACCCACTCGTTTTTCTGTTGGCGTCAAGCATTCCCGCCCAAAAGTCTGTTTTGCCTTTTATGCGAAAACAAAAATGTGACTTAGATCGTTCTTCCCCTGGATAATTTATATACTATGAGTATTTATCTCGCTATATGGATGCGATGTGATCCTATGCTATGCTCTAAAGGTATACTTACTCTTATTTCATTCACACCATATGATATCCATATAAGAGACAATTTACTGATACAACTGAAGGATAATACTAATAACATCAACACAAAATACATCCCAAGTCTGACCATTTTCCTAACAGAAATCTCAAACTCGTTGGAGTTTTCACAATCTCTTTCTGATATACACATGGCTTCCCATGCTCTGTAACATAAAGTATGTATATTTTAATTATAAAACTAACTATATAAGCTGCCAGGGATCAGCACAGATTCCTCCATGACTATAACGTTAATTTTCGTCCCCCCCCCCTCCCGCCCAAAACATCGCAAAACATGGCAAGATCTTGCTGAAAAGGATGTATGGGGTTCACTATGGAAATCGTGAGATACACAAACTAGAAAGTGTTACAGGTATATAACTATCCGTCTTACATTTAATCTGTTACAGTCAACAAAAGGGGAAAAGAGAAATGCGGAAAGCGGCCTTTTTTTAAAATAGAAAGAACTACGTTATCAATTGCGGGAACTTAATGCTGATTTCTAAAAAATGTGTTAGTCTGTGTCTGGGTTGCTAGTAGAGATAATAAATTCCTATGAAAGCGTATGATATTCCATTAATTCAAGGACTTTGTAAATATGCAACACATTTTTATATCATAAATCGGTAGTTGGTTCAGCGATTTTGATTTTACATGTAAAGACACTTTACAACCCTCATCTAGACATCATAATCTTTATTAACTAAACGTCAATTAAAAGGAAACGAAACTTACTCTCGCTTGCTTTTGTCATCGACTGCTTTCTTTTTCTTTCTACTCTCTCCCTCCTCCGTTGCACCTTCGGTATTTTCAGCATCCTTTTTATCTTCTAGATTGTCATCTACATGGATCTCTTCATCAAGAGATGGTAGATTTGTTTCATTTATCTCAGTAACATAAGGTGCAGTGGCCGAAACCTTATAACCACTGGATGCAGTGGATCTACCGCTATCTGAACTTTCACCCAAGGATTCCTTGGAGCTATCTTTAGAAGTACCCTGGATTTGTTGAGGTAAAGGTGGTTGCTGGGTGGTGGCAGCTGCTTCTAGTGACTTTTTTCGTTTCCTTTCGTTTACCTCCTGTCGAAAGTCAAATAAATGAAATGTGGTTTAACGTCCTACTGTTCTGCTCCGAACTGGACTAATGAAGACGGAAATACGCCACACAGTGTGCTATGGAGGAAATCTTGCCCGGACAGCGCCACTATCGAATTCCAACTGTCAAGGGATCTTTTACGTTCACGCCAATGTGTACACGGGACCTCGGTTTTCGTCCATCCGAACGACTAGACAGCTGTCCTTGTCAGGCTCTCCGTCCGGCATTAATGACAAGGGGGAACCACGCCGGATAATCTGGATGAACTTTCTAGGCCAATGCAGGGATCAAACACCCGACCTTCAGGCTAGCGAGCCAGCGTCTAACCCACTTAGCCACTGTGATCCCCCGAAAGTCAAATAATAAAAAGTTGGAAGTGGTACACGTTTTCGTATTAGGATGGTAAAACGTATTTGTAAAAACGTAAATGTCGAATGAACCGTTTATGTACTAGATGTAATGGTTCAATACAGATTAAACAATAATATACAAACCTCCTCTTTCGCAATGAGTTGAGCTTCCAATTGATCCCTGTGGTCCGTTTTAAGAAACATCTACAAATGAAATATAAAGAACCATATTTTATTATTTGAAACATTAAGAGTCATATTTTTCTATGTGAAATCTTAATGCAATACCCATACGGCTTTTGACGACGGCTTTATATTAATTCAATTCAATATCATACTTAGGGACTTTCTGTCCGAAATATCGACGGCTGCTTACAATAGCAAATAATTTTCTATTCTGTATATGTTCTGCGAATTATTTATAGAAATATGTTTATAGTCAATAAACAAGCAACGCTTCAAATAAGAATAGTAAATATACTACCTTTGTTTTTCCAATCTGATAATTAAAAATCTCGACATTTTGAAGTATTCTCTGTGACGCTTCCTTGGGATACATGAAGGTTTCTCCATTCAGCAATACTTTATACCTAAATAAAATTCAAACATCAGATACTATAGATAATCTGGGTTGAGTAAAATAGCTAAACATCTTTGATTTAGGTATGGTATTGAATTGGTTTGTTCTAGTGTATTATTTGAATCAGTGGGTCAAAATATGAAGCCAAATCTTATTATCTTCATATTCATATAAAGGGAGATAATCAAAGTGTGTGTGCGTGTGTGGCAAATTCCTTCTCAGTCGGTCAGTTAATGTATTAAAGGCGAGAACAATAAAGATCTATACCATGACCGTTTCTCTTTAATTTTCTATTTTCCCACAACGAACTTTTACTTTTCTGTTCTCTATGGGAAACAATTCCATGTTTCTCAACCGAAAAGGCTAGTTTTTTAAAAATTTTAACATAGAAAGGTTTTTATCAACAGTCACGAGTTATTTACCCCTGAATTCCATGTTTCTCAACCGAAAAGGCTAGTTTTTTTTAAAACTTTCAACATAGAAAGGTTTTTTATCAACAGTCACGAGTTATTTACCCGTGAATTTGATTACCTCCCCCTCACCCCCCCCCTCCGCCCCTTTATATGACTATGGATATATAGAAAATCAAAATCTCCTACTCGTCTTTTTTGATATCAAAAAATATCAACGCAAGTCGATAAAGTACAAAAAATGAGGCTCTGTCGATTTTTTTTTTTACTTTATCGACTGGTGTTGATATTTTTTGATATAAAAAAAGACGAGTAGAAGATTTTATATATCACCCAACCCTTCTTACATATAAATAAATATAATTCTTTGCTATAGATTTCACTTTTACATAACCTGATTACATTACGGCGTAGTGATACATCCTATTTTGACAGCAACTGACCAATCAAATTCATGTAAAGCGATATCTCCTGCAGTAAATTATGAAATTTATCACACAAGCGATATCTACTGTAGAATGTACTTAGCCTCGGATTAATGCTATGTTTGAAAATGCATTTGATAAGAAATTATCCGCCAAATCAGTATTGCTCTGATTATCCAAATAGCCAAAAAGAATAGAAAAGTGGAATTGGGGGGGGGGGCGGGTTTAACGTCCACTCGACACAAACCAGGTCGTTTCGGGTACAACATATGTTGGGTTTTTTTTAAATTTTATTTCAACAATTCGCTTGCGCGTAGGGGGTCTTTAGCAGTGAGAAGAAACCCGAGGACCCGGAGAAAACCCACGAGGTTGGACTGGCGACCCTAACGCCTTGCCACGTAAAACCGGGGATTCGAAACCACGCCAGTTGAATCAACGACAGGCCTTATGATACAGCGCGCACGTGCTAATATGTTGAATTCAAAATGGACGATATCAACAAACCAAAAGCACGAAATTGTGAAGTATTATATAGGTGTTAAAATAGCGTACAAGACAAGAAAAACACATATTGATTGCTGATGAAGTTGCGCACAAACAAAAGTGGGATTGCACATTACTTAATAGTTCTTCATTTGTTATACTATAATTAATGTTTTCAAAATGGAGTGTAAAATACGTTTACCTTTTATAGAAATCCAT